AAAGCACAGAACCAGTGATCTAGGCGGAGCGCCTTCTTGGGGCTTTGGGGCAAGTGCCCGGTGGCAGCGCTGGATTCCGAGGTTTGTTTCCGCAACCGGCGGGCCGATTTGAGCCTTTATCAGCGTCGTTACAAACTCTATCAGATCCGGGCCCTCTGATCCCTCCGGTACCCCATGTATGCGGAGATTATTTCGGCGTGAGCGTGCTTCTAGTTCGGTTAGCTTTGCTCTCAGGGTTTCCTGGGTCTCCATCATGAGAGCGAGTGCCTCCTTAACCTCCGTGTCCCCTTCTTCGATCTCGGCTATCCTCTGTTCCGCCTCCTCTACCCTCGCCGTGGTAGCCACTAGCTCCTTTGTAGTGTCTTGAAGTTTCTTGTTAATTTCTCCTTTAAACTCATTCAGCTCCTTTTTCATATCGTTGCGGAAAGAAAGTCGAAACTCACTCATTTCACTTTTAAGGTCCGATCTCAGGGCCCGGATCTCATCGTAGATAGCTAGCATGGAGGGGTTAGCTTCGCCACCTTTCTCCTCTCCGCTGCGAGTTTCCTCGGCTAACTCTCCCTTTTCCCGTCCCGAGCTTGATTTGCCTTTGGGCTTTTTTTGTTTGTCCCCATCCATGTCAAGTTTAGGTGCAGTTCTTTGCGTCTGAATATTCTTCCAAGGGGATTATTTCCAACCGGCGGGGAGCCGAACCGTTCAGGCAGCCATTTGCTACCACGCCAAAACCGGAAGCCAGAGCACGCCCTTTCTGACCGGTTTTAAGGGTTAAAGACGCTAGAGAAGTCGAAGAACATTATCCGAACTGTGGTGGTCGGTCCATCAAGGAAGGTGTATGCTCTCTGCAGCAGATGTATCACTGCATTGCCCACTCCCAAGTGGGGCTGGTATGCAGTGTTGGGAAGGTTACTTTTAAAATGTATTCCATTACAGAATACAGAATACATGCCCCAAAATGTATTCTGTAACGTATTCCGTTACGTTACTCAATGACAGTAACGTATTCTGAATACTTTGGATTGCTTAATATATTCCATCCATCCATCTTCATCCGCTTTATCCGGGGCCGGGTCGCGGGGGCAGCAGCCTAAGCAAAGAGGCCCAGACCTCCCTCTCCCCAGCCACCTCCTCCAGCTTATCCGGGGGAATACCAAGGCGTTCCCAGGCCAGCCGAGAGATATAATCTCTCCAGCGTGTCCTGGGTCTGCCCCGGGGCCTCCTCCCGGTGGGACATGCCTGGAACACCTCACCCAGGAGGCGCCCAGGGGGCATCCTTGTCAGATGCCCGAACCACCTCAGCTGGCTCCTTTCGATGTGGAGCAGCAGCTGCTCTACTCTGAGCCCCTCCCGGATGGCCGAACTTCTCACCCTATCTCTAAGGGAGAGGCCAGCCACCCTTCGGAGGAAGCTCATTTCTGCCGCTTGTATCCGCGATCTCGTTCTTTCGGTCACTACCCACAGCTCGTGGCCATAGGTGAGGGTAGGGACGTAGATCGACCGGTAAATTGAGAGCTTCGCTTTTACACTCAGCTCCCTCTTCACCACGACGGACCGGTGCAGCGTCCGCATTACTGCAGCTGCAGCCCCAATCCGTCTGTCGATCTCCGGCTCCCTTCTCCCATCACTCGCGAACAAGACCCCGAGATACTTGAACTCCTCCACTTGGGGCAGGAACTCATCCCCGACCCGGAGTGGGCACTCCACCCTTTTCCGGCTGAGAACCATGGCCTCAGATTTGGAGGTGCTGATCCTCATTCCCGCTGCTTCACACTCGGCTGCGAACCGTTCCAGTGCGAGCTGGAGGCCCTCACCCGATGAAGCCAACAGAACCACATCATCTGCAAAAATCAGAGATGAGATTCTGAGGCCACCAAAGCGAAAGCCCATAAAATTTGGATTACTTAATATATTATCATGCTTTTTACAACAACGTGAATGTACTATTGCTGTGTGATTTATTACTATTACTGAAGGTCCGCGACTCCGAACTGTAGTAAAGGGACCTCTGACTAATACGGCGGGGTCCCTGTCGGCTCGTAGCCGAAAAATAGCTTTACTTTGTTGTGTGGGTCAACTTTTCTTGCGAGAGACAGAGAGAGGCGTTGAAAGACTGCTCCAACGGAACTTATTGTTTTCGGAGGAAAACACGAACACGGTGTACAGTCGAGTCTTAATAGCTTACTTACAACTGCACTCAAAAAAATAAAACATTAGATTTACTTAAAAAAGTTATGTCAAGTGGTTCCACACAACTGCTTTAAGTAACTTTTAAGAAATGTTGTTACTTAGTTTGAACTCAATACTGTTAAGTTAGATTTACGTAAGTGTATTGGCTAAATGTAACTTAATTGCAATGCTTAGCTGATACTTATCTTTGTTGCTTTAAGCCTACATAACTTGTTTAGGCAATATCTTTGTAATACTGTTACTTAGCTGGTACATAACTTTTCTGCTTTAGAAGGACATAACCTGGTTAGGTAGTATCTTTGTAAAACTGTTATGTAGCTGCTACATAACTTTGTTGCTTTTGAATTATATAAAATTGTTAAGTAATTTCTATTCAATACAATTACAAATAAATCATTTACACTGGTTACTTCCATACAAAATAGCAAAGTTTCTTAAAAGTTACTTAAAGCAGTTATGTGGAACCACTTGACATAACATTTTTAAGTAAATCTTAGGGAGATCTTTTAGGAAGAAATGAAGACAGCACCCAAATTATCAAACACAATCCTGCACTGTAAAACCTGACCAGTTAAGTTAACTCAAATGATTTGGGGAAACCGATTGCACCAATTGATTCAAGTTTTATAACTTAAACAGTTTTGGGTTATTTAAGTACTTTATTAGAGTCCCAAGAACCCAAAGCAAATATGATAATGTAACTCAAATGCATTATGTTTATTTACTCATTGTATTTAGTATGTTTTAACTTAAACCATTAAATTTGTTGTACTAAGATGCTGTATTTATTCAAACTTATTTAAAGTGTTACATGCTCATATTCAAATTAAGTTAAATTAACTTAAATAGTTGTATTTAAACAACTTAATCCAATTGGGGAAACCGATTGCACCAAATGGTTCAAGTACTATTAACACAAAACCAAGCTATTTTCTTTCCATTCAGTTTTTATTAACTTTAACTGCAGAGAAAATACAGAATGAATACAACCATACTTTGAGTCATAACCTATGACTGCTAAAGCCATTATCAAACAAACAAATAATTAGGCATTTTAAAACTTGCGTTTTTAGGGAATTTTGAATGTTTTTTGTAGCATTTTGAAAATCAATTAAAATACAATCTCTCTCCCACTAAATGCCATGTTGCCATATCATTTTTTGATTGGTCGACATGGTACATTTTTCCACCAATAGGAAAGGGTGGGGGTTTTTTTGGTTTTTGTTTTTGCTCACAAGCGGAGAGTGCTTTTGAGGGCTTTCCTTAGAAAATGCAGTTTTTACCATTTCTTCCCGCAGTAAACATAAACAACAATAGTATTAAGGAAAAAAACATTGCATTTTTTATCATAACTCTGGTTTTTCGTGGCCTATCAACACAATTTAAAAACAGGCATATAGTTTGAAGTCCACACTTTTTACACAAAAAATTAGAATTGGGGTTGTCTTGGGTGGACATAACATCTTGTTGCTATGTCACCGTAAATTGGTCATGCTATTGGTATACCATGAATACTTTTTCTCCTCAGCCAATCAGCAATGCGATCAATTGGATCACAGGCTGGAGTGTTCTGCCAGTGGTCAGAGCTGGCTTTACTTTCTACAAAGGCTCAGATCCTTCAGTGTATACAGCAGGCTGCTCTATATGTTTTATCAGTCTGTTATTGCGAACACCATCTTCTTTGCGATGGCGTGCAGGCACCCAAGCAAAGGACGCAAATAGACTGAACAAACTCATCAGGAAGGTTGAGTCTGTTGTTGGCATGAAGATTGCCACCCTGGATGAGGTGATCAGTTATAGAATGCTGGAAAAATTGCTGGCAATCATGGACAATAAGTCCCATCCCTTCCATAACACACTGGATAATCTGAAGAGAAATTTCAGCAACAGGTTCCTTCAACCTCGCTGTCTGAGGGAACGTTACAGGAAATTGTTCCTTCTGCTGCTATCAGAATCTTTAATTCATCCACTTGGGTCAGGTCCACACATGTGGAACAGAATTAATTACACTTCAATGCAGCCTGTCACTTTTGTACACCACAAGATATATTTCCACACATACTTGTCCTTTTATATTCATTGTATATTTATATTTATACTTTTATCTTTATATTTATCTATTTATCTTAATATTCATCTATCATAACTCTGTTTCTACACTCATTTTATAGGAGTGCATGTTGTTTTTGTGTATTTGCTGCTGTGACAACTCAATTTCCATCTGGAATTAATAACGTTTCTGATTCCGAATCAGGTTTTAGAAAGACCTCATCTTCAACATTTTGGGGGGTTGTTATTTGCTTTGATAATTTTAAACAAATAGCATAATGTACAGTGTTAAAATATGTCTTTAAGTCTTTTGTTATATAATTTTACATATTTACTTATTTCTAAAATCTCTGGTTTAAAATTAAAAGTAATTTGAAAACATAAAGAGTAAATGTTTGAATGTTTTATAAAGTCATTGTACAATTTTCTAAAAGTATGGCTTGTAAGACTATTTCAGATTCCAAATATGTTAGATGCTTTTCTAGATTTTTTTCTAATCTGCTATGAACCATCCTCACATCTCATCTAAAGCTCTGTAACCCTCCCTTTTAATGTTGTTTGCTGTTACACCCAGTGAAATAAAGTTAGAGATTATTAAACCAGCCAGCTGTTCATTCATTAGAGCTCAAGCTTACAGTCATACAGCAGAGCTACAGTGAGGCTACAGAGACACCACATGGAAACAATCAAAGCTCTCATTGTTCAGCTCAGGCTTCGTGTGTTTCTGCTTTATTATTATCTACTGAGACAAACTAATGTATTCTTACCTTCTGATGAAACTGTTGAAGCTTCCTGGGCTGGGGGACTTCCTGTTGGGGAAAGTGCACTTTGAATCGTAAACTGGTCTTTTTAAAAATGACAACCTGCGTGGCATCAGAAATATATAAATATAACAAGTCAGACTATAATATTTTGATACATTTCATAAAATAAACTGTGACAATGTCATATCTGCATACTGTACTAAATGTTTAATGTGTCTTTTTCCTCTGACTTACCTTCATTCATCTTCTCTAAAATCAACCTCGCCCCCTGCATCACACGGTCTGAATATGCCTGCACCATCACTTCTACTGTTTTCAGTCTGTCTGCGTTCTCCAGCTGGTACTTATAGAGTTTGGGGAAGTCATCTCCAGGTTCATACTGCAGGTAAAAGTGGAAAAGCTTCAGCTCCTCCTCTCCCATTTTCTTCAGCATTTCCAGTAGCTGCACTGGTAAGGCCTTCTCCATCTCTGACCTGTAAAACATAAAACATGTCTCATCACATCTACGTTTTTAGCTTTTAGTATACTTCACAGTGCCCTCTAGTTGTCATGTATATTTTACCTAATGCAACTTCAACTCTAACAATGCTGTTAATATATAAATTAAAGAGATACTTATCGAATTAAACTTTCAACAGAAAACAAAGAGGGCTCACAATCTTTAGAAAACAACTTAAAATCAACTGACATTTCTACAAATCATATCACTTAAGTGTGTGAATGTGTGTGTGAATGGGTGGATGACTGGATGTGTAAAGCGCTTTGGGATCCTTAGGGACTAGTAAAGCACTATACAAATACAGGCCATTTACCACTTATTAAAAAATAGAAATATGAATGAAAAAATTAAGTCAAATAAATAAAATAAAAGTACAAGACTCCAGCAGAAAAAGATAAGCACGCTAATTAGTTTTTAATCAAGATTTATACACTGGTTTAAAAGAGGTTTCTAAATCTGCTCTAGAATCAGAAATGTGGTACTAAGGAGGAATTCATAATAATTACAGTTAAAATATATTTTAAATTACCAACAACATGATGATATCATAACTCTGGTCCTTGGAGGACAAGGGTATCAGCCAAGCTTCAACTTAGAACCACTGACAGCTGCACACACAGTGTCATCGTTCCCCTGTCCTCACTAGCATGACCAGTCAGTTTGTTTTTGTTTTCCCTCCATCCCAACTTCCCGTCTCTTCTCCTTACTGTTTAGAAGAGTTCTGCGATTGGGTCCTGTCATTCTGCCGTCTGGGCAAAACTTGACACACAGACCCTGAACTGATGCACTTATGCTACAACAGTGCACAACTGTTTGTCCTCTGACATCCAGCAAAACCTGAAAGACCTGAGTGGAAGTTCCTCCCTACACTTTGTTTGAAGCAAAGCACAAAGGAGACACCTGCTGGAGCAGCTGGAGTCCTACAGATGCTCAGCCTCTTCACTACAGAAACATCTCCTATAACATCCATTCTTTACACTCTGACTGCTGTGTTTGTGGAAACACTCGAACAAACACCGCTTCACATATGATCATGGAAACGTGCATGAAAAAGAGCTGAGCTGATATTAAACCTGATGGAGGATTTATTCACAAACACTGACTGACCAACAACATTTACACACACTTGTCTGCAGGAGAACAACTATCACCCTTTGACGCGTCACTCTTGAGAGACACACAGGTGAGTTCAGGTTCATGTTTGAGTCTCTGATGGTTGCTAAAAAAGTTCAGATCTTCAATAAAAGGTTAATCACATATTACTGATATTATCGACATTAGCAAACCTTTTCCCACTTGGCTCTCTTTGTTCTAATGTATTAATTAGCTTTTTCACTTGGGCACTCTGTAAGGACACACAGCTGGGTTCAGGTTTGAGTTTCTGATGGATCCTAAAAAATATATAAAAAAAATAAATAAATATAAAAAAAAAAAAAGCAAAATAACAAAAAAAATATATAGCCAAGGTATAGACACAGTTTAGATGTGATGTAAATACAAGACATGTTAATACTGACATTAACTTACTTTTTCTGAAATGGTCGTGTTGGTTCAAATTTCTTGATGATATCCTTCACTTTGTCACTCTTTAAGGACACGCAGCTGGGTGGAGGTCCAGGTTGGTTCCTGTGAATAATGATGGAGCAGTGATGTGAGTGCTGAGCTGTGACATGGAGAAGAGTCATGGACAGTTAGAGATGGTCATCTCACCTCTGATCTTTGGTCTGGCTCTCATGTTCCTCACACAGAGTGGTTTTAGAGGGAGGGACTCCCTCCTCTCTGTCCTCACACTGATCCATGCTGCTGAATTCACATCCACATCAGCTCACACACACTTCTACCATCACCTGCAGACGAAACACAAATCATTCATGTGCACAACAACTGAGAACTGCACAGGTCATGTCTGATGTGTTGGACTAACCTGCACTCCATCTGAGACACAGCTTTCATCAGTTCACCATTACAGTTCACAGAGCCGACTTCAGCCTCCAAATCCCTCCATTACTGTAGTCCTACAAGGCAGCAGGTCAAACATGGCTGTAGAAGAGCAGCTTTATTTAAGTAACAATGCCCAGGGCCAAGCTGACTGCTTACAGAGTTCATATTCTAACTGCTAGCTGTTCTGCTAGCTAAGCAAACTAGTGTTGAAGGTCAAAGTAAAGAAATGATGTGATACTGCTGGGAGTTACATCACATACTAGCAGCATTTAGTTATTCAGCATTATATTTAATCCTTATTATCTCATCCTCTCACCTCTATTTAGCTCTGAAAACAAGAAACATTTTGCCAACAGTTTATTGGCTAGGGGAGGGAGAAAACGAAGAAGGGCCAATGAGGAAAAGGGAAAAAGGAAAAGGGAAGAGAGGAAGGAAAAAAAAAACACTAACCATAGAACATTATTACTGATGACCTTCCCCAGCTACCCTCTGGTGACGCATGAGTTATTCTCTTTATTCTTCTTATAATGGTTTTATTGTTATAATTGTGATTACTATTACTGTTCATAGTTGGTCACTGGACACAGTTATTGCTATCATTATTGTCATTATTATGATCATTGGTGATGATGGTGATAATACTGAATTAATGTTGCTTTGGACTGAATAGAAATTAACACCCTCACTACACACAGTCACAATCATACTTGTATTATTTTTTTTTACCAACTGTCTTGTCTGCAAGTTTCCTAATCTATCCTGCTCTATTCTGTATGTCGTACATTTCATAATAATAATAATAAAAAAACAACAACAACAGAATTTCAGCCTTTATTTAGTTTAGCTGCTCATGGATAAACATATGTTTTCAGCCACTGAAAACACATCTGCTTATCTGTAAGTAGCATCAAGAAATTCTTGATGATGGCTTCTAGACTATAGAAATCATCATCAAGAATTTCTACATTGCATTACAATTTTTTCAACTGGTGCCTGGGTTAACTGCATCACTGGTCACGGCTTGTTATTGGAGGGCACCTGTCCATACACACTTCAGAGGGTGGGGTAGAAATTCTAGGGGTTTTTGTTTGAGTGTGTGCGCTTGGTCAGGTGTGGGTCTAGGGCACACTGGGCCTTGATCCCTTTGGGATATTGTTATTAAGGCTAGATAAGACCATATGTCTGCTTGCTACAACTACTGGACAAGACAGGTTTAAAAAAATAAATATGAAATCAGTCAAAAAATAAAACTGCTGGCCTACAAAGCTGCTGCCTTCATCTGCAAACTGACCTACATGCTGAACCACAAACTCCACCCTCTAATGAGAACTGAAGAAGTCATCACTGTTATTTTTCTACAGCTGATCGCTGAAAACATTCAAACTGACTCATCACGAAGCCTTTTTTCCTTTGAATTCTATAAACCTGCCTGTAAACAGTAGCTGAAACTTCCAGAAGAAGTAGACAAAACACTCAACTTGAAAATTCTAAATAGAAGTAAAAACATGAACACTGTCTTCAATCATCTCTTATATACAGGTTAAAGATAGTCTACAGAGAAAATAATCACTTACACCTGCTTAGACAGATTTAATTTTAACACACACATACTCATAAACACTAACAGGAGGAAAAGTGTTTAACGGTTGGTCCAACACTGGTCATTGGTCGAGCTCTAAGTCCATTACTGTGAACTATGGAGTGGCAGATTTGTGCTGGAACTAAGCTGCACAAAGCTGATGTTAGCCAGGAAAACATTACAAGCTGCTTCCATTACCTTCAAATGGAGTTTCACACAGAGTTGATCAGCATCAGTCACAACAAACAGGAAGTTCAGGAAGGTGAGAGTAAACCTTGAGCAGGGCGGAAAACACAGAGAGGCGTCCACAGACCAACATCACAGCAGTGGTGTGTGGTGACTTCTACAGAAAGGCAAGCAGTGATCATGCTCACCCCACCCCTAATACGCACCAAAAACCCCTCATCTTCCTTATCATCTCATCTTGCTTCACTATTGAGAAATTTAACAAGATAAACTGGATCCAATTAACCCTTACCTTTTGTACATCTTTTAGTTTTTTTTGTTTGTTTTTTTTGATTTAGCTATCATTTTGGCTGTGTTATAGCTTGTAGCATGGATGTTTGCAGGAAAATTTCTTTTTTGTCAAATTTTTGGAATTAGAACACAGAAATTATGTGGTTACAGTTCCCCCAAGACAATAAGAACAGTGACAGACTGAACTAAATGAAATAATACAATATAGTAAAGTTATAAAATATAAGCAATAGTTCTAATTTATATAAATAGCTCAGTGGTAAATATCCAGAATCCCACAAAGAGGGTGCAACTACTGCTGTGTGTACTGTGCATTAGATGGAGGAGTTGTACAGGAAGACTTCCTGTGAGTCTTTCCAGCTTCCTGTCATATTCTACTGTAGAATAGCAGCAGAGCTCTGTGCTCCCTTTCTTCCTATTCTCTCCTTTCCTTCCTCCCTCTCTCTGTCTCATCTCCTCATTTTACTTCCTTTTTCCTTTCCTTCTTTAATTGTATGCTTTCTATTTGGACACAATCGTGCATTTGTTCGTTTAGTAAAGTTCATTATCTGTACTTGTAACACTGTTATAAATCTGTAACACTTTGTTCTTCACTTTTTTCCCCAAAATCTTTTAAAATGATAAAATTGAATGAAGTCGGTGGAAACGTCTCCACGTCAGGTTTCGAGGACGCCGTCCAAACCATCGCTGGGCGGAGCCTCATCTCATCATTCTCCATGGAAACCGAGTCATCCATAAGAGATGAAGCTACAGCCTTTAACACAACAAGTAAGAGTATAAAACAAAAACAGCTGATTGACTTTATTAAAGTTGTTCCATTCATTAAGATTGAAATTTGGGATTTTTTTGACTTTTAAACTAAATTTGACTCTGTGAACTTTTTGATTTGAAAGAGCAGATGAAAAGTGAAATGTGTAAAAAGCTCTTTAATTTTGCTGTGAAACAAATGTTTAGAATACTGATAAATATGTTTTTATGGTTTGGGCCTTTAATGATAATGTGATGATAAACATGACTCTGAGGAATGATAGGCTCTTCCTTTCTGCTAATAATAATCAATGGCCTGTATTTATATAGCGCTTTACTAGTCCCTAAGGACCCCAAAGCGCTTTACGTATCCAGTCATCCACCCATTCACACACTGGTGATGGCAAGCTACATTGTAGCCACAGCCACCCTGGGGCGCACTGACAGAGGCGAGGCTGCCGGACACTGGCGCCACCGGGCCCTCTGACCACCACCAGTAGGCAACGGGTGAAGTGTCTTGCCCAAGGACACAACGACCGAGACTGTCCAAGCGGGGCTCAAACCGGCAACCTTCCATTACAAGGCGAACTCCCAACTCTTGAGCCACGATCGCCCATCAACATCATAATAAGTGTTGCTTTCCTCATTGGGACTTCAAGCAGGACAATAATAAATGGATTTCCTGAACTAAGCTTCCTGCTTTGATGAAAGATAAACACGAAGTTGGATTTGATGTTAAGGAGACTCTGAATGGGCCTTAGGATCTATAATTGTCCTCAGTTTCTTTCAGACAGTCAAATTGTCTTTGTAATGAATATTATACATCTATACTTTGCTGCATCAGCTCACTGATGAGATAGACAGCTGACTTTAAACACACATCCAGTTTGGACAGGTGGCTTACCTGCTGCTTCTAGGCAGGGAGCAACCAGGATACCCAGATGTATCAACTAGAGTCATCTGGGCTGAGCCTTGAAATTACTGAATGAATGTTTTTGATCCTAGCAATTCTATTTATCCCAAGCAGAAACACGCATGTATAAAAGAAAATAATACCCCATCTGTTAGATTGTATTGTTGATTGTCATTTATGCTTAGAAATATTTACTTATATATGCTTAGAGTTTTGTAATTAGTTGTAGATTGGTAGAGGTTTTGATCCTTGATAGTCTGCAAACTTTGTGTGTATTAGACAGCACTTTGGGAGCATGAGAGGTCATACCGTGTCTTATTGTTTTATGGTAGGATTAACGTAGTTGCGTCTGTTCTAGTCTAAGTGCTCTTTGTTTAGATGAACTGCAGGACTTCCTCACCGTGTTATCTAGGATGAACCATCTAGGGTGAGGGGGAGGCTACCCTCTTCCTGACCAAGGATGTTTGACCCTTTGATCAGCAGTCACACACACACACACACACACAAGGTACTCTTTGTGTGTATGTAGACGTCATATGTTAATGAACTTATGCATATTCATGTAACCTCAATAAAAGAACAGTGGTACGGGAGAACGGACGAGAGCAACTGGGGTCAAGCGAAGGAACGGTGCCTGTCCGGTTCTCTCCCGTGCACGAGAAACATGAAGAAGCTTGCCTACTTGTGTCTTGCTTTGCAGTGTAATTATATTGTCTTCAACGTTCCAGCGGATGGGTTCAAGCTACAAACCTATCTAAATACATTCCAAATTTTATTTGACGTTTATTATAGCAATACAAAATCGAATGAATAAAACGTCACCCTTGACTTTTGGTTTAAGGGTCATGATGACATACGTCGAACTGATGAACCAAACACTTCCAAAGTCTGGGTTTTTTTTATCAATTCCAAACTGGTCAGATGAGCCCAAACAGCTGGCACTCTTTCGATGCGATGCCAATGCTACACAATTTTGACAGAGAGGACATTTTGAAAGAGGAGTGAAAGAAGCATCTATGTCCACTGTGAGCGACCATCTTTGAACAGAGGCGGGGTTTACGACACCAACTCTCTGCCATCTATAATCCAGTTTTGAGATCCCTTCCCAGACGCCTTAACGCCCACTCACATCCTGGGCCATCTGACCTCAGGAATTCGCATGATAAGGTGGGGCCAGGTTTCACAATGAACTCACCCGAAACTCTGGCTGATTGGGACCCACACCCAGTTTTACACCTTGGCTCAGGCGATTAGAGGATCATCAGGGGGTCCTTTTGTCCCTCTGTGGGGGGGTACTCCCACTAGGTTTATATCTGGGACTCTCCACCATTTGACCTTAGAACTGAAGAAGCTTCTCGGGTGAGAGGTGAAACGTCTTCAAGTCCAGACGCTTTTCTTTGCAAGCTCCTTTGACTACGATGACCTGGATGACTGAGAACCTTCACAGACATAGATTTTAGACATGAGTCTGAATTACTAAATTACTGAGCAGCTGAAACAGCCGCATGTATGCAATCAGAGGGAGGAAAAAGTATTTGCTGAAACACACTTTCTTCTCCCCAGAGTGTGCTATGAGCATTAAAGTCTCTACATCCTCTGCGCATCAGAGGGTCCTGCAACGTAATTAATATGCATAATTTTTGTAGACATTTCCCTTGTTGCCAGGTTTCAAAAATGTTTGTTTTGATTTTTGTGAATGAATTGCTTTCATGACTTATCCAGTGATGCTACTGACCAGCCATTCGGTGGCATGCAGTCTGACAATGTCACATTTCAGTACCTTCTCGGTCTTAAAAAAAAAAAAAAAAAAAGTACCTTGCACCAGGTATGTGGAGGGGCATGGTCTGAGGCACACCTGTGAGGGAGGCAGACGCACTTGGACGGACGTCCACAATAATGCCTCACCACCATAAAAATTCTTAATTAGGTCCTGGGGTGGTTGTTGGTATGTGCCCGGCCGTGAGATGCAGAGCTATAGCCGAGTTTTGTGTAACAGCGACTGCAGTTACTGAAAGTATGCTCAAAAGCAGGAGTATGTGGACGGGTCTGTTGTGGATCTTTCACAAGGTACAAGAACCTAATGGAAAACTGTGAAAATTGTGGCGACTGTGCAGAGTCAATCCAACTAGGTAATTGACAAGGGGCTATTAGCGTTAAAATGATTCGGTCTCAGTATTTCATTCTGATGAATCAAATGTGTCAGGGTTTAAGTCAAAGCAATCGAACTAAACTCATGTGATTAAACTGTAAGCTGTTTGAACCTTTTCATCTTTCAGTGAAAACTAGATGGCGTCCCAGGTCTCAGTATGGCCGCCTGTCAAAAAAGCTGAATAAATTCAATTCAAATATAGATCTTTGAAATCATACATAGTGTAAAATGAATCGTCAACACAAAAGTAAGTAAGACCCACTACAGGAATGTTTAGTCAGATCTGGGACTGTACCCTTCAAACCACTCTGTTCTGCTGTTGCTGCAATAGAGACCGCTATAAACTGGTATTTTCAAAAAGCTTGGATTCAAAATCAAACAGCAACATATGATAGAGATTAATGAAATCATCAAAAACAGGAATTACATCAAATATCACCTGGTAAACTCAGTGATCTGTACAGGCAGAAGGTAGCTTAAAAGGCTCTTTAGAGAGGAAACTTTCCTTTATGGGAAAAAAAAAACAAAACATCTGTCATCAATTCCTCTTCATTTTTGATGCAATGTTTTATTACAACCCCCCCACCCCCCAAAAACCTAATGTCTATCACCAAATTACACCAGATTCACCACCAGAACTTTGAACTTTGTATCAAACTTGAAAACTATCACAAACTAAACAGATACACAACATATCCAATTCTATACAGGCATATTTATATATTTATATAAATATTATAATCAAGCCGTTACCTACATAGTGTACCAAATTCTACCTTGATATGTCTTTGAGAAAAAGGCAAGACTAGTTTCAATAAGTTAATGCAGTCTTTGCAATGTATTAGATATGTTATTATAATGCATGCCACTTAATACAAACATATTATGGTCAAAACCCCATTAAAAATTACTTAGCCAATACTTTCCCCTTATGTCTGAAACATTTTCAAAAATGATTGAAACAGTAAGAGCACGTGGACAGTGTGGAAAAAATCACACTAAGAAAGAGAAATCAAACATTTTCACGAGCTCAGACTTGTTGCTGGTTGTAAACTAAGCTTCAGGAACAAACATTGTACTAATATTCACTGTAAAGCTTTGAGTTGATAAAGACAGAAAAACAACATAATCGTAGCTTCCATCTTTAAAGGACTGAAGAGGAAAAAGTTTACAAGGAATCATTTAGAACAGTTTAAAACATCAACTGATTGAATCCGTGAATCTGAAAACATGTTTCTGAGTAAAAGAGACAGACATGTACAGACTGAACTATCTGTTCAACCGTCAGAGTGTTTCTCTAACAGGGGGACACTCTTTACACTCAACTTGGCAAAAAGACACTGAAGCACCAGGCCAAACATAAAAACCAGGATAAAGAGGTTCAGTGAATGTGGTGTTGAAGGTGTGGAGGTGGATCAGAGTGTGAGAGGAGACTATGTAGTAGGACAGAGTGCCAGCAGGCCAGTCCACATACACTGCTACTCTGTTAGAGACGGAAGGGGAGGAGGAGATGGACTTTGATTTGTTATTATGCCAGATATGACGAGGACCATCATCAGAGCACCTCAGACTCCAGGACTGCTCATTAAATCCAAACAAACAATCTGTACTGTCTCCTTTCCTTCCAATTCCTCTGTAACTCACTGATATATGAACGTTTCCTCTCCAGTCAACCTCCCAGTAATAGCGACCAGTCAAACCATTTTTACACAGCAACTCTGGGCGGATATCAAATCTGTCTGGATGATCCGGATATGAATGAACTTCGTCCACACCTGTCACCTTCCTGTTGTTTTCAGACAGTTGGAGTTTTCTGTTTACAGTGTTTGTGTCGATTATGAGTTGACAGGAATCTGATGGAGAGAACAAACACAATCCAGCTGCAGTTATTGATCCATCATCTGTTTATTGATTGACACTTTCATGATGACTCCTGACATCAGAGATGTGAATGAGTGATGTGACAGTTTGAAGAGGTTGAATGTGTACTGCTTTGTTTTCATGAATCACATTAAAAAGACACTTACACTTCCTCAGACCTGGTGTCAACCATTTGACTCCAGCAGGCTCCACCCTGAAAGGAGGAGGGAGGTCAGTCCAGCACAGTCTCTTTCAGCATGGACACATGGACATTACATCACTCTCATCCACATACTGTTAGACACTGATAGAGGAACAGTCCAACATTTTCACAAATACACTTCAATCCATACCTGGATCAAATTCCTGATGATTTGGACTGATCCTGAATCTTTCAGTGCACCACTGTATTGAATGAAATATGACTGATTCAGACTGTGACCTTCATTATCTTTATATTCCCCTTCTGTTTAGCTGGAAAGGACACCTCCCTGCTCTGATTCATAAACTTTAATCTGATTTAATTTATAGTGTTTAACAGGCCTTTTACAGTTGAGTAACAACAGTCACTACAATGTGTCTGGAAAACTCACTCATTTTCTTTCGGACTCCTCCAGCTGTTTGACTCTTGCATTCATTTTTTCATTTGTAAAGTCTGTATCAAAGCTGTGTGTCTGTGATTGTTCATGTCACATCTACAAAAAATGTTTCCAGATCTTCCTCCTCTATCAGACATTCTCTCCATACCTGAGAGTGTCCAGTCTCCAGCGTGGATCCTTCAGCCCACTCGACAGCAGCTTCATTCCTGAGTCTCCTGGATGGTTGTAGCTCAGGTCGAGCTCTCTCAGATGGGAGGGGTTGGAGCTGAGAGCTGAAGCTAGTGAAGTACAGCCTTCCTCTGTGATCAGACAGCCTGACACACTACAGACACATAAAGCAGCAAAACGTCTGTAAACACTTCACTGAATAATAACAATTATTATTATTATTATTATTATTATAACAACAATTATACTTTAATTACTGTTTTTTTAATACAATAACACATAGGCTGTGTTGTTAGCCATTAAGGACAAAAAGCAAGGGAATGCTAAGGCAAGGATTAAATGGTGAAGAAAGAATGTTGGAAAGGATTCAGGGGAGGAAATGAGTCAGGCTATGGGTGGTAGGAAAGAGTTACCAGATAACTATAAAAGCACAGCTGATGCTGTGAAGGAAACTCAGAAGAAGGTGGCTGGCGTATCCTCTGGACAGAAGAAATAAGAGAAGAAGGCTTTATAATTGGGATGGACCGATCTGATATACAGTATCAGTATCGGTCTGATACTGACCTAAATTATTGGATCGGGGGTCATGGCGTCCACCTGAACGGTAGCGAGACTTCAAGCTCCGACCTCAACGTCCTTTAAGTACGCCTAAACAGCGGTTAAAAGCCAACCTCTTAGCGGCTGCCTCACTGACCTAAGCTTCTGCTTTGATCTAAACAGCCAGGATGCCGACTAAATATAGGTCCAAGCCTAAAACAGCCGGAAAGGATGGATCAGACGACGATCCTAGCAACGAACCTGAAACCGAGAAAATGGAAGGAGCTAGTGCTAGCTCCCAACAGACCGAGGCGAGTGTTTTGGCCGCAATTCAGTCGCTGAAAATTCACTTCACTGCCCAACTGCAAGAAGTTTTAACATCAAACCAAGAAATAAAAGACGTAATTGGAGTGTTTTCAGAGAGGCTCACCTCAGCAGAAACTCGCATCAGTAAAGTTGAAGATGATGTCTCTTCTCTCACAAGTAAAGAGGCTTCCCTTCATAAGAAACTTCAGGAACTCCAGCTAAAGGTGGATGACCTCGAAAATAGAAGCCGAAGATCCAATCTGAGACTCGTCGGATTACCCGAGAATACTGAACAAGGAGAAATTACAATATTCTTGCAAACATGGTTAATGGATGTTTTGGGACGGGACGCGCTCCCATCCCCACCTATCATTGAACGAGCACACAGGCTACAAGGCCGAAACACTCCAACTGGCCCACCTCGTGTGATCATCATGAAATTCTTGAATTATCAAGACAAGATGAGGGTGATGAGAGCGGCACGTCTGAAGGGAAAAATAACGCACAACAGATATCACGTTATGTTTTTCCCTGATCTGTCAACGGAGGTCCAGAAACAGCGAAAACAATACAACCAGGTAAAACAACAACTCCGTGAAATGCACATAAACTTCGGACTGATCTTTCCAGCAAAAATGAGGATTTTCCACCATGACAACAGGCTCCTTTTCCACACACCAGCGGAGGTGGAAGATTTCATACGAAAAGTCCGGCAACAAAACGAGGGATAAACTTCATGCCCACTCAGAAACGCTACCATATCAAATACGTGTAACTCTGATAAACAATTCCAAATTGGACATACAATGGCTGCTGGTGTACAGGTATGATATAGATGGCCTTAGATATATTATGTTTAAATCTTTTCATTCATTTACATTGTGTGGCCACTTCTTTAGTTAATATGGTCGGACCTAAGTTTGAAGCTTCAATCATGAGGACGCTTCATCAGCTCCTTTACATGGATCTGATGCATACCCAAGCCGCAATGACTTTGGGGGGGGAAGGTTTTGAGACCTACACCCATGGGAGGTCTCTGGGTTGTTGTTTTTTTGTTTTTTTTTGTTTATAAGAGATTGTTTTTAAAGTATAGTGGTCTTGAAATAAGAATTTGTGAGCTTCGACAGGAGAGACGAGATGTAGTCAAACCCAGGTCACTAAGGGCACAAACTGTATGAGTAGTTATTCAAATATTGAACTAATTTCCTGGAATGTAAGAGGCCTTAGGAAATGTATTAAACTGAAAAGAGTAATGGATAGAATAAAACAATATCACCCAAAGATAGTTTTTATTCTAGAAACACACTTACTCGCGAGTGAAACTGACCGGATAAGGAGGCGATGGCCAGGTCAGGTTTTCTTTAGCCACTTCTCAACATATGCTAGAGGAGTGGCAACACTCATTCATAAATCAGTGCCCATGTGTATGAAAAAAACCATCTTGGACCCTGCAGGGAGATTCATTATTCTACAATGCTCCGTACTGAACCAAGATTTAATATTAGTTAATGTATATGGCCCCAATATTGACGACCCCAGCTTTTATAATAATCTATTCCTCTCTATTGCAGCCCTCCACGGTGAGATAATTATTGGGGGGGACTTTAATTGTACCCTAGAGCCTAGGCTTGATAGATCATCAGGTTTAGACTCCTCCCACCCAAAATCTAGACAAGCCATACAACACTTTATGTCGGAATTGAATCTTAAAGATATATGGAGATTAAGAAATCCAACAGGGAGAGAATACTCTTGCTACTCAGCCAGTCATAATAGCCGCAGTCGCATAGATTATTTTCTGATTTCAAACTTTCTTATTTCCAGAATTAACAGCTGTTCATATAAAAGTGTGCTTATATCTGACCACTCATTAACTACGCTTAACTTTTCAGTTACAACAGCTTTCAGACGTAACCCTATTTGGCGTTTAAAACTACACTGGCTGCAAAATCAAAAATTTTTGGAATATGTAGGTAAAAATATTGATGACTATTTTTACTTTAATAAATCCGAAACCACAGCCTCGGTAAGATGGGAAGCCTTTAAGGTTTTTATTCGTGGGCAGATGATAAGCTACACCAAAAGCAAAGCAAATAAAAATTATACTGGGATGTTGGACCTCGAAGGTCAAATAAAAGAAATGGAACTTGAGATAAACCTGAATGACTCTAAAGAAAACCAACAAAAACTTTTAAGATTAAAAGCAAAATATGATAAATTAACTACTGAGAAAGCCTCAGCAGGACTATTTAGACTGAGACAGACCTACTATGACCAAGGGAAAAAGGCAGGAAAACTTTTAGCATGGCGCATAAAAACGCTACTGAACGAACAAACAATAAATGAAATTAGAACTGCAGACGAAAACACCACAGATCCTTATAGAATAAATGAACTCTTTGAACTCTATTACTCACAACTATATACCTCAACAGGAGATACGACTCGAGAATCATTAGAATCCTTCTTTGACTCAATAAGTACCCCTTCACTCCTTGAAGAAGCTCGATGTGAATTAGACTCTCAGTTATCTATGAATGAACTGTCGATCGCAATTGATAAATTAAAAATGGGAAAAACTCCCGGCCCAGATGGAATTCCACTAGACCTTTTCAAAATATTTAAAGACAAATTAATATCCCCTTTGTACGACATGCTGGTGGAAAGTTATGATCTAAAAGAGCTTCCCCCTTCCTTGCGTAATGCACTCATAACGGTATTCCCTAAGCCTGGGAAACTGCCTACAAAATGTGAATCTTATAGACCAATCTCATTAATAAACTCTGACGCCAAGATAATAAGCAAAGTACTGGCAAACAGACTTGAACGGTACCTTCATCTTCTCGTTGATACTGACCAGAATGATTTTGTAAAAGGCCGACAAACGCAGCATGGTATTCGCAGAGTACTGAATGTACTTTACTCAAACTCAGAACATCTAGACATGGCTTTGCTTTCCTTAGACGCAGAAAAAGCTTTTGATAGGATCGAACATAACTATCTCTATAAGGTACTGTCTCAATTCGGCTTTGGCAGTTACTTCATGACCTGGGTCAAAATATTATATAATAAACCTATAGCCTCAGTTAGAACTAATAACATCATATCTAGACCATTCTATCTAGGTAGAGGTACACGTCAAGGCTGTCCCCTTTCGCCTCTTCTCTTCGTCCTAGCAATAGAACCATTGGCTATTGCGATAAGGAACAATCAAAATATCTCTGGTATTAGAACAAATAATATTGAGTCAAAAATTGGATTATTCGCAGATGATATTATCTTAATGCCATCTAAGTTAAGGAGCTCAATTCCCCAGCTACTTAAAACAATTAACTCCTTTGGCAAGATCTCCGGTTATAAAATTAATGAATCCAAATCGGCCATCCTCTTCTTTAATCATTCTGAAAGAACTAAACCACCTATTCAAACAACGTTCCAAATTGCCAGAGACAGTCTTACCTATCTAGGTATAAAAATCATTCCAAAAATTAACGATTTGGTACATGCAAATTACTCTCCTACTATCAACTCTGTTGTTGACTTAATCAATAGATGGTCTATGTTGCCAATCTCGTTGATTGGACGAGTAAATAGTCTCAAAATGAACGTCCTTCCAAAATTTCTATATCTCTTCCAAGTCATTCCTCTCAGCCCTCCAGATGACTTCTTCACAAAGGCAAAAACAATATTCATTAAATTCATTTGGAATAACAGACGAGCCAGACTGCGTCTTTCGCTACTATATCTTCCGTATGATAGGGGAGGTCTTTGTGTTCCAAACCTCAAACGGTACTACTGGGCTGCCCAGCTCTCCGCGGCCTCATGCTGGTTTTCAACAACAACCCTACCCTGGGTAAATTTAGAAAGGACAAGTACTACCCCCTTACCACTCAGCACGTACTTGTACTCTGCAAAGTATAAAGATCTGATGAAAGATACATCAAACCTCTTCGTTAAAAATACCATTCGTGTGTGGTTCGACGCACTCAAGTTTAAAAATGAAATGCCAGCACTATCCCAATTCTCACCTATCTGGGGCAATAGGGCCTTTAAACCCGGTTGGAAAGATTTGGGCTTTAAAATGTGGGCCGACAGAGGCCTGTGTAAAGTTGCAGACCTATTTGACAAGGATACCTTACTATGTTTCAATGGCTTGACACAGAAATTTGACATCCCAACCAAACATTTCTTTAAAATTTCTCCAAATTAGAAGCTTCATTTCAAAAACCCAAAAATCCCTAACATTGCCCACTCTAAACTCATTAGAGGATATAGCAATAAACCATCAGCTGAAGAAGGGTTTAATATCTCGCTTCTACAGTAACCTCAGAGAGGGCTCTCAAACATCCTCAGAAAAAGAAAGACTTGCATGGTGTCAAGACT